CCAAGTTTGACATTTAGAAGAATATTTCTTGATTTAGTTTAAAAGTTTAAATATAATTATAGTGTTTATAGTATCTCGCTCTAAACCAAAATTGATTACAGTAATAGTTTAATGACGTCTTTATATAAATTTAGTCTTCATAGACGTAGCAGTTGAGTTTTCTTACGATTTATTACAGTATGATACACCTATCCTACTCCAGAGACAAAATTAAGCAACAAATTGAATTGTGTGTTTTTCCGAGCAAAACATACAAATTGTACATCCAAATTAGTAGTACAAAGGGAGTAATTGATAGACGGATTCTATCTGAACAAGCAGAAAATGTTTGTTAATTGTAAATCAAAAACTATTCTAAACTTTAATAGGACTGTAATTAAGCAATTTTCCAGAAATCTTTGTCAGGGATAATAAATAGTTAAAAGGGATGTAAGTGACTGACTTATTTCCATAATGTTATTATTATAATGCTATCTTTGCATACTGTACAAGCGATTAACGGTCGTTAGTCGATTTAATTATGTCTATAAAACGCACCACTGACTAGGCATTAACGTTTATGTGAATACTCGGGTGGAAAATTTTAGCCATTTCCATTTTTACGTTGATGGTCTAGTGAACATTTGGAGAATGTTTATATGAATATCGAGAATTAGTCAAATGTTAATTATCGGTGAAATTTAAAACAATATTTATAATATTTATTATATAGTTCACGTAAATTTCGCCGTGAAGTGTAATATAAATATTAATCCCTCAAATAGGCATAAGTAGTACTATATAAAATAAAAATAACAGCTAAACACCAGTAATTATTATAAATTATAAGAATGATAGAAATGACAATTCGAGATTCCCAAGCAATAATAGACACCGGAAGAGAAAGAACTGAAATAATAAAAATAAAAATGGAGTAAGACAAGGAGATACGCTCTCAACGGTACTATTTGTTCAATTACTAGACAAGATAATAAAAAAGCTGTCAAACGCAGGAACTATAAAATAGAATTTAATACAAATAATAGAATATGCGGACGATATAACCATAGTAGCATCACTAAAAAAAAAAAAAAACAAAAAAAAAGAAAAAAAAAAAAAAAAATGAAAAAAAAAAAAATAAAAAAAAAAAAATGGACTGGAATATAAGAACGCAAGCAAAAAGAGGAAGGGACAAATTAAAGAACTGGCAATAGATATAAACAGTTTCAAAGAAATTCAAAGAAACATTCAAATATTTTAAAGTACTAGAACTAATAAAACATCATAATTTGAACAATCTTTCATCTAAAAGTTTTGCGAATAGAGTCATATTTCTGCTCCATAAGAGAGGACCGGGACCTACAGCAATGATAGTATATAATAATTTTGTAGGTTCTTCTTCATGAATGTTTCTTGAGTGGAAATGCTTTTGGAGTTTCATGTGTCATATGTTAGATTATTTTGCGATTGTCTCATTTAGTATTCCTTCCTTGCTTTGCTTAATACCTTAAACAGTGTTCTATGGAATTCAATATTCTGTTCGCTAACGAGCTCATTTTGGAAGAGTCTTTCGTATTTTTTAAAGGTACTTGTATTTTTTGTGTAATATCATTATCGCAACTTCTGGTTATGTGTCTCCTGGATATATTCTTAACTTCTCTGGGTGAATCTTGGGAAGTCATCTAAAGTTGGGTTGATTGGATTGACTTTGCTATCTATGTCATCAGAAAATTAAGTTTATCCCGTCTTGTTAAAGTAAAAACTTTTTTTAAATAAGGATAGTACGGATCTTAAATACGCTGTGTGCATTTATTAGTATACACTGTTTCGATAAAGTGAATTGTTTGTCTATAGATTGTTAGATGCCAGGATCGAGATAAAAATCGACAAAAAACGTCAAAATAAGACATTTTTGAATCATCCCCATACAATATTGTACTTTCAAAGTTAAACATAGGCCTCCCCTAATTTCGTCCAGTGCTGTCTTCTACTACCTCTGCTTCTTCCATCTGCTCGTGGTGTCATCTGATGTAATTTTATGTGTTTAACGTCCGACATTCATTCCGGTCACGTGGCTTGCTTGTGACGCCTGTCCTTTTTCTTATTTCTTCGTTTCCAGCTCCAGTAGCGAATCGACATTGATTCCTTTGGCAATGCACTCCAATGTTTTTATTGCGTGTTGCAGAACTACCATAAATAGTTTGGAAGATAATGCATCTCCTTGTCTGATTCCTCTATTGATTGTTACACAGTTTGTATGTGTATGTAGTCTTACGGTCATGATTCCATTACTGTGTGTGATCAATATATTAGAGCCACCTAGTAAAATTAATTGTTTTTTACAAAAAGTGTATAGAATTAAGCTGTATAATATAATAATTCGTTTGTTTCCATTTAATTATCTTGTAACACTTTATGAAAGTTTAATTAATAGTTTGGCAAAGGGGCAATACAGCGAACGTTGCAATACGTGACTCAGATGCCATTATTTGTTAGTGCTGTCCAGCCTAACTTGCAACTCATGTGCATATTATTTTGTAGTCTTAGTGTTTACAGTTATAATAAATAGTTTTCATTGCTCTTTAATGATACTCTGACAGTTGTGCACTATTTTTGTGAATTTAGCAAGCAGTGCATGTTCGTTACACCAGTGGTACCAGAACGTCATGGGAAAATCCAAAGACATCTCACCAAATAAAATAGTGGAAATAAAAATTTTCAATTACTCCAACAGGTTTCTATTTCCAATTTCTAAAGTTTCAAGGGCAATTGTGAACCGAATTAAGAAAAAATTTGGGTTTGACCCCACGGCGCAAAAAAAAAATATGGTCGAAAAAAAATTACAATACCACGAGATGAAAGAAAAACTCGATATATTGTCTTGGTAAACATAAAACAACCTTCAAGGATTTTAATGAAACTAAATTAGAAGTCTAACATAAATATTTCACCAATAACAGCTCGTTGGCAATAAAGGATTTAGGGTTTTCAACCTGTCGCCTTGCAAAAAAGCCGCTACTCACACCATCAATGAAGAAAAAAATGCTTCAATGAGTTAAAGATCATAAAGATTGGACCATTATGCTGAGATTCACGTAAATAACATTCCTTAACATTATTTTTCTTTTATGTAGTTACAGTTGATCAATTTGTAAATGATTCTAAAATAATAATAATATTCCAAATTTGTTTTTCGGACGAATCTACCTTGCAGATCCTCATGGATAGAGCTGAATATGTGAGGAGAAGACCTGGGAAAAAATACAAAGTGGATTGTATTGTTAAAACGATAAAGCACCCCCTAAGCATCATGATGTAGTGTATCCTAAGCCGTTAAGAAATTAATAGACTCTACATTTTTTAAGAAACAATGCGACAGGACCATTACTTGAGAGTACTGCAAACAAAAATGCTTCCCCACGTCCAGGAGTGGTTTTAGTAGAAGAGTTTCACATTTGTGCATGATTCGGCGCCTTGTCACAAGTCAAAAACTGTCACAAAATTACTTGCTGACAACCAGATAAAGGTCCTCGCGTAGCCTTTCAATTCGTCAGATATGAATCAAATGGAAAATCTTTGGAAGCTCATGCAAAAACAAATTTTTAATGAAATTATAACCAAAAAGTGCAAATTAATCGAGCGCGTAATTGCAGTATGGTACAGGAGTAAAACAATTTAACAGAATTACCAGAAATACATAGAAACTATGCCAGCCATTGCTGCAAAGAGTGACACTACATAATTTTAAGTATTTTTATGTAATTACTAGTTTCTTTTTGAATATTTGTAAACTTTATAAGATTCTAAATCACAATAAAATAGAAATAAGCAAAAAAATATGTTTTATAGCTTAATTAGACACCATCATTAAAAAAAAGTAAAATTTTATGGGGTTGGTTCTAATAATTTAATTACCAACCATATTGTATATTTTTGCGATCAGGTTGGAGTGCCGATAAATAATCTATGCGACTCTCCTCCAACGATCTTATGCTTTTAATTTCATCATATCGAATGCCCAAATCTTTGTTTCCAGTCTATTTCTTATAATTCGTGTAAATAACTTGTAGTGGTGGTTTAATAAGCCTATGTGTCGTACCATCTTATAGGTAACAATAAGTATACAATCTTTACAGCTTGTATAACAATATTATCTTCTCCAGGGGCTTTATTTATTTTTATTTTCTTCAGTGAGTTCCTTATTTCGTCTGTTGATGTATTAGGAATCAACTTTGATCCTTGGTTGACTAATCTTTTTCCTTAGTTTTATAAATTTTCTGTTAGTTGCTCATCACGTTTTTGTTGTCTTCTGTATAATTCTATACAGTAATCTTCTACTACTTTCAGTAATTTATCTCTGTTGGTGATATTTTCATCTTTATCCTTTAATTTTAATATTTCTCTTTTACTGTTTTTTTTTAATTTCCCCTGAGAACTTTAAGACTCTTGTTATTTTCAATCGTTTTTTGGATTTATTTACTTTTATGCTTTCAATTGTTCATCCTAATAGATTTTTGTATTTTTTAATATATCTCTCGAAGTTTATGATGTTCTTTGCTTCTTTACTTTGCATTTTCCTCCTCTCTGCCATTAATGCTTATGTTTGGGGACTTATTCTTTCATTAAACATATATTTTGTAGCAGTGTCTCTTCTAGCTATCCTCTATAGCTTTTATATTATTAAACACACCCAAATTTTGGCGATACTCGGGTACGTTCTTGTATAACAATAATTACTTGGCGTTTTAATAAAAAAACTGTTGTAATAATATTTGTTTACCGGCAAAATATTGTTTACCGGAAACTTGTTAAATTAATAGCCAATCTCAATTACACATCTCAATTTATCCTTAATTTTGTCTCTAACTCGGTTCCTAATCAACTCCTCACACATAAATTAACATTTCCGGTCCCCGTTGCTGATAGTCAATAATCTTCTTCTGTTCAAACAGGAAGTCGGCGACGAGTCCAAGTTAACTCAGAGCTTTCAGCGGATCAGAGACCTTGTAAGGAAAAGGCGGATGGCAGAACAAAGGGAAAACGAAAACAACTCCAGGTTGGAACAGATCGTTAGGGAAGTTATGCAAAGACACGCCGAAGAGGAAGCATTAAGAGCAGGTAACGGATAGCTAGTTTTTATCTTGAAAGTCATGTGTGTTTTGTTTTTTGGAGCTTTATGTGTGAGTTTGTAAAACGGGTATTTAAATATCTCCTATTTAAAATTTATTATGTGTTACTTTTTTCTCGAGACATTGTTGTTATTTCTAACAATATATAAAGTGGAGTTCACGTAAACTACTCAAAAAGCATTACAAATAAGCTGCAGGCTCTTTGACATTGATTTTAAAATAATAAATAGATAATATGTATTAAGAAAGCCATTTGTTAATAAAAAGGTTAAGTTATCGCTCGAATTTTTATCCATTTTTATTTTTGTTTAAGTATAACAGTTGAAATGCATAATATATTATATTTCTTATTTATAGTACATTCTGCAGTGCAGTCGTTTATATACGTTCAAGTTACGAGAACAGTTTTATTCATTTTTCATTTTATATAATAGTCAATATTTGAAGTCAAATGTCATGTAGTATAACATCAAATACTAAGAAAAACGAAGATAGAAGAAAGAACATGAATATTTGCATCTACATCAAGCAATATTAGCTGTTTGTAAACCAAGGAAAAAATTTTTTTCGTAGTCCGAATGAAAGGGGACAATACATCGTTTGTTTTAGAGTTAGTACATCACCGCTCATGTCATCAAACTAGGAAAACCAAATCAAGATGCTGAAATTAACAGGAGAACACAACTGGCATGGGGTTCTTTCGGCAATGTAGCATATAACTTGAAAAACATCTCTATTTTTGTACACTTAAAGAAAAAAGTGTATAACACAAGCATACTACCAGTTTGTACTTACGGATTGGAGACAGTAGCGCTTACCAAAAAATCTGCTAAAAAATTAGAAACAACGCAAAGAGCAATGGAACGAATCGTGCTTGGAATATCAATGAGAGACAAGATTAGAAACTCCGAGATAAGAGGTAGAACGAATATTAGGGATATTCTGTAAGAAATTACAGAAAATAAAATGGCGCAGTGTAGGTCACATAGCTCAACATAATGACAACAGGTGGACACGGATAATTCTAGAATGGAGACCAAGGACGACAACAAGAACCATGAAAAGGCCTCATAAAATATGGGCGAAGATAGAGAAAAAAGGAAGCAATTGGGAGAGACCTACAGGCAGGAGTATATGGAAAATGGTTAACAAAGAGAATACATCTGTAATTTTCGTTTGGAATTTCTCAGTACACTTAGTTTTGCTTGACGTCAACTTTATTTTTGTTCTGACATCATTTGTCTATCTGAGCCCTGATTCTATTTCATTTCGATGTCGAAATTTAAAAGCGACTACGCCATGAGAGTCGCAGTTGTTAAATGTTTGTTTTGTTTACGTTACGTCTTTTGTTTCTTGTTTGAGTTGTTAACTTTTTAGCGACCATTTGTAATTATTATATTTTGAATTGAAAGAAAATGGATGGAGAGGCTGTCGGTGATGGTGGCACAAAATTGTCTGTGAACCAAAAAGAAATTATGGTGGCTTTTGACTTAGTGGTTATATTCTAATATTTTTAAATTTACTGCAGCTTAGTAATTTTTACCCTAAACGTTTTGGGTCTCCTAGAGGTATAAACACCCTACTACAAATATGGTTCTAATATCCTTATCAAATAATTTGCAGCTTGTTTATTAAGGCGGAATTGCCGCCTAAATTGAGCATCACTTAATGAAAAAAGATTTTGAGTATCCCGTAACATTCTTCTTAAAGGCCATATTACACTATGCACTTTCTTGTATTATTTCTTTTATCGTTTCTGATATAACAAAAAAATGGATATTGTCATACAAGCGTGTAGTTCTTATATCAAAAACAATACAAGAATTTGTGTCCGCTGCAGATTCTCGTACAAGAAATGCGCCAATTTGTGCGTAAAAACGTAAAACTTATGTCATAATGGCGGCTGGAGGAGAAATTTGATATACAATTAGACCAAGCAGACATCAGAGAAAAGTGCCCACCAGGCACCAACAATAAACAAGATTAGAACAACAGTAGCCAAATTGAAAAACAATAAATCACAGGGATTGGATCAAATAGCATCGGAACTACTGAAAGTAGGAGGAGATGTATTACCAAAAACAATACAATAACCGCTCTAAAAATTCGTGATGAGTTTAAAGATTATTTTATATCTCCAAGTAAAAGAGTAGAATTTCAAGGGCATCCCATTCAAACACGTAATTTGTAAAAAAAAACAAATAAATTATTACAACCAAATTATTACAACCAAATTATTTATTATTTCTCTCTTCCATTACAGCCTGTTAAATATCTTCAAAAATTGTGGTTTCCAAATTAGTTTTAATGTTGGGACATTTTATTTGTTTTATTTTTGCACCACAGTATTATAAAAAATAATTAGTGACATGTGGCTTGGGGTCCTCAGGTACTTCAGTTCTATTTTTATAGGTGTCAAAATTTCGACCAATCATGTGCCAAACCACATACAATTTCTGGTAAAAGAACTTGCATAATGTCATACAGAGCACAAATGTACGTACAAGAAATGATACAAGAAAATATAAATAACTTTCTATATTAGAAACGATATACAAAATGATATAAGAAAATGCATAGTGTCATACGGCCATTATCCTCCGTTGTGAGCGTCGGATATATATCCTCTCTAATTCCTACAAAACCAGCAAATGTCCATAAAACGCAGTCGTATTAATACTTTTTGTCTCAGGTTTCCTTGTAAGAATCAAACAAAACAAGACCGCCTAAACTGAAATTAATCTCACTTCTCCCAACGAGCCAATCATAGCACATTAATTTCGACTTAAAATGAAATGTCAACCACTTTCTTAAAGTTAAAATTAATTTCGATAAATCGAAAATTAGTGACTTCCTTTGGTTAGTTCAGCTGAAATCCACTAGGCTCGCAAAGTCGCATTTCGACGTCGCCATATTAATTTCGACATGTTTTGAGTCTAAATCTCAATTAGAATCAGGGCCCAGTAGTGACTGTTCTTTTATTAGTCACAAGTTATTGTAACTCTTTGATAATAGATCACAATTTTCTGATTGTCTCTATCTTTTATTTATACATCTAAAATTCAATTTGGTTACGAATAAAACGTTTAGGTGTATCTGCTCTATTATCTATTATAGTCTCTACTTGGCACAAATCTATTACATATGTAGCTAATCAATATGCTTATTATAAATATTATCCATGTTAATCATTAGTCAAATGTTGCCGTAAGGGTTTGGTTTTCACATTGACACATATAAAACCAAACGATAACGTGCATTTTCAATTTACATAATGGGAAAATGAGTGTGAGTGGAAATTGATTGCCGGTTTTTTTATTAAAGCCACTGTTAATTATGAGCCACAAACTAAACCGCCCTACAAATCGTTCAATCGCGCAGATTTCCGATTTGGTTAATATTTGCGAGCTGGACGGAAAAAAGGTCGAATACGGATTGACATAATAGATGCTGGGAATTTAATATGGAACAAAATACTTAGTAAAACGGTAATAATATACATAACACACAATTAAATAAAAGAGTTTTGTGTAGTAAAGCAGATTTAATAGTTTAAAAACTATTAAAATAATATATCAAATATAAGTTTTACGAAAATGTTTAACTATAAATTTTTGTTCCATGGTAATCTAAAGGTCATGACAACAACAAATAAATGATGCTCTGCTGTTATTTATAAATTTCGAACTTATTCAATAAATGAGTTCAAAATGTACAAATTTTAAATTTGCGGGAGTATTTATGACCAAACCGTGTTGGACGGTTGCCAGAATGTGAAATTTTTAACTTGTTCAGAGATCCAAATGTTAAACAGGCAACTATTATACAGGGTGGTGAATCGTCAAATGAGCCATAGGAAACTCAATGGGAAATTCTAAATTATTGAATTCCTGCTTCCCTAATTATTTTGCACCAAAAGTCATGGGAAATTATTTGTAGAGGAATCAAATATGTATCGAAAACAAATGTTAAAATTGTTCTACGATTTAAACATTCCAAAATTTTGAAAAAATATAATACATTTTTCAGGCCACTCCTAAAAGTCAGTCTTGCTTTAAAAGATTACGGAGTAGAAAATGTGTTTATTTTTGCAAATTTCACCTAAAAAAATATTTGCAATCCTATTTTAATTTTGCTTGCATGTTGTAACAAATTGTTAATAACAAACTAACTGCCATTCGTACAAAAAAAGTATTTAGATTTTTTGCTTCAAATGATATAAATAATCGATTACACAGTTTTTATGCATCTTTTTGGGTGTGTGCAGTTGGACTACAAATTATATTCAAATTTTAAAAGTATTTTTAAGCCAATTTTATATGTCACTCCCTTCCACATTATTATCTAATTCAAATTAATGCTTACAGCTGAGAAAGCTTCAAACCCAGCCCAACAAACGATCGTCGGATTCCCGAGAGACAAGCGAAGTTATCAAGAAGCGATGAACAGACCTATTTCCATAATAAGTTACGATCCTCCGGAATATCAGGTGAATAATGTATATTAGATCTAGGTATACAGAAGATCCTAAAGGTGACTTTAAGGATTTAAAATTAATAAATGTCCAAAAATTTAAAATACTTATTCTTAAATAAATAGCTGAAAGTTGCTTTTACTATATTTATACCTAATTAATTTTAAACTTCGTTAACAAGTTTTTTTATAAAATCTTCGAAAATATTTCTGTTTAAAGTAGAAAGTATTTAAATTGGCTTGTTAACTAATTAAAATAATAAACGAAAAATAAAATATGTGAGTGTGAATAAAATTATTAATTGATTGGCATAACTCATAAATTATTGTCGATTAAAAAAAACTTAGTTACAAGTTAACTTAAACAGGTAGCCTCTGATCTTTGATCTTAGACAATTCTCATTATCTCGGGTACTTGTTAAGTGCTACCTTAAGGGATTAAGCAATAGCTAAACGCCTTAGTGACAGAGAACATAAAATTAGTTTAATATAAAAAAACTAAAATGTCGGTATTACGTACCCATAGTAATGTTTATAAAAATACTAAATATTGGTTTAGGACATTTCCTTATAACTAAATAATAATTAATATATTTCGGGTACTAGCGTTATATAAACTTATAATTAGTAATATAAATAATATAATTACATACTTAATTGCATACGTTGACTTCTTTCGATAAGGAGGCATCATCATCATCATCATCAGTTGCTTCATTTTTCACAGAAAGTTGTTGATACAACAGAATGGATCTCGCTCATTCGAATATTTTTCCTCAACCTTGTTTTGCTTAATTTTCTTGAATTCGAGACGCACCAGACCACAAAATTAGTAGCATTATGGTGAATGCGATAAGGATCACCACCAAGAAATTTGAACAGTCGACGTGACGCCTTTTTCGAAAAAAAAAAAACATGGTTTTCTGGGTGGTTTAAAGGTGCTTTGCCTATTTTTTATAATATCCTAAAAATCTTATTTAATTAGGTATATATAAAAAAAACTTGATTTGATCTATTTTAAAGCTATTATATAATATTATTATATATTTATATTCTCCATCAAATCGAGAAAACCCCCAAAAAAACAGTTTTTCGGATTTTTGAAGAAGGCGGAAGTAATTTGAAAAAAATCATTCGTATAGTTTTTGATCAAATACACAAAATGAAAAAAAAAACTAAACGTTTTTTAATTTAATTTAATAATTACCAAATATAGTAGATATTAACAATTACAATTATTTCAAGGAAAAAGATCCAGACGGCGAGAGGAGTAACAGAACTTCAAAATTGTATGCCAGCGTAACATCAGAAGAAAACAGTACACCTGGAAGCACAAAAAAGAGAAGGCGAGATCCTAAGCTTTTGCAAAATATGTCTTCAGGATTGGGAACAACAAATAGCAGTAAAGGTAAGATTTTTTTAAATATAAATAACAATACTTATTTTGTGTTTTTTTTTAATTAGGCGTAAATACTTAGTAAAAAATTAGTTTTTGTACTAAAGTTGGACATATTTATGGTTCGTCAGTCATTTAAACAGAATTACCAACAGAATGGCTGAAATCTGGGTTTATTGCACTTCCAAAAAAAACCAGGAGCCAAAAAATAGCGAAGATTACCTTACTATAAGCCTCATGAGTCATCTCCTAAAATTGTTCCTAAAGATAATTCATAAGAGAATCTACAAGCTCTGTGAAACTCAAATTTCTCCCAACCAGTTCGGGTTCACAAATGCTGTTGGTACTAGAGAGGCTTTGTTCTCAGTACTTCCAGACTGAGAGAGTCTAATTCCAGAGATTCAGAGACGTCAACTGCGACGTATACGCATGTCTGGTTGATTACGAGAAAACGTTTGATTGAGTAGAGCACGCCAAGATGATGCAAATACTAAAAGAAGCAGGGATTAATAACCAAGATCTGAAAATAATTAGAAATCTTTACTGGAATCAGACAGCAAATCTTAGAGTTGAAGGTGAACACACTGACTATGTGAAAATCATGCGTTGAATGAGGCAAGGCTGTATTTTGTCTCCTCTAATCTTCAATCCCTATTCTGAAAGAATATTTATCCAAGCTTTGCACGAAACTAAAAAAGGTATTCTACTAAATGGTTACCCGCTTTACAACATCAGATATGCAGATGACACCATAGTATTTGCGGACAACTTAGAAGACCTACAAGTTTTTATGAACATAATCACGTATTACAGTCAACAATACGAACTGAATATAAACGTTAAGAAGACAAAGCTTATGATAATTAGCAATAAAAGGATAACAGAAGGTCAACGCTACGTCAACCATTCTCCTGTAGAAAGAGTGACGCACAACAACTACAACTACCTCGGTACCATTAAAAATGAAGAATAGACCAACAACCAGTAGATAAGAGCACGCATCGCAAAAGGAAGATTCACCTTCAATCGGATGGGGGCCTTCTTCAAGAGTCACAACCTCTGTCCTTTTATATGGTGTTGAATCATGGACCTTGAACGAAGATATGTGCAAAAAACTGGAAGCATTTGAGATGTGGCTATATCGGAGAATACTTAAGATCCCGTGGACTGACCAAGTCACAAATGAGGAGGTCCTTAGAAGAAATTTTTGGAAAGGAAGGAGGTCTAGGAAGAAGAAGAACATCTTGGTTAAAGAACCTCATAATTTGGTTCAAGACAACATATGTGCAGCTTCTCTTCGCTGCTGCAGATAAGATAAACATTGCCATTAATGGCTCATGGATTGGGATGATCGTCAATATTCGTAACGAATAGGCACATTAAGAAGAAGAAGTCATTTAAAATACTTTATTTTTATTATAAAATGGGCATGTCTTACATTATAATATTAGGTCTCATTTAATTTTAAGTTTTTACAACAAATAATTTTTAAATATATTTTGCTTTCGCCTGCAAATAAACTACTTACATACTAACAGATCTAAAAACGTCTATTAAGTCTTAAGTCTGAAGGTCACCCTTTAAGCGCTGTAAGTAAATATGAATAGGTCGTTGCTTACTGTATCGTATATGGCAGCCTAGTACTATAAAGTGGGATTATTTACTTTCATATATCACTGATGATGATCTGATAGAACCAGAAACGTTTTGAACAATTTTCTATTTATTTTGAATATTTTTATATTTAGCCAATTTTGCCTTTGTATATCATTAAAAAACCCACAAAAAATTATGTAACAATAAAACACTGAAAACTTTGTTTTCAAACTTCCACAAAATGTATTTTAAATCTTATCACTACAGCTGTTTCGGTTGATTGCCTTTCTCAAGTGATCTATTTTTGGCTTTGATTTACAAATTTATAGTCTCTAATGAAATATGTTGAGGAAGGGAGAACTGTTTGTCTCAAGTTGGTCATTCAAAATTATATCTGTATTTTTTAATTTGTTGATTTCCATAGATTCTAACAAAGATAGCTTAAGGCCTTTATTTTGAATGTGAAGAATTTTAAATTTGTCATTAAAAGAATGATTATGATCTAGAAGGTGAAGTGCGTACGTCGAATCTGTTTTTCTATTGTTGAAAGCCCTTTTATGTTCTGCTATTCGTTTATCAAAGTTTCTACCAGTTTGACTGATGTAAGTTTTTATGCAGTCGCCACATTGAAGTTTTTACACATCACTATTTTTAAGTGTTTTTTATTTTGGCTCTTGTTATGTTTAATATATTTGCCTAGGTTGTTATTTGTTCGGAAAGCTGGTGTTATTCCTTTCTTTTTTTATGTGTCATCAATTATTTAAAAGAAGTTATACAAAAAATTATTGTGGAAAATTTCCCAATCATATCCTAACATTTTAATAGATATAATAATTGTCCTTTTTTTAAAACTTACTAATAAATTAACTGTTTTGTTATGCTTTAGGTGTTTTTATCTATGTCGTATACAGAATAAAATATCACTTATAATTATTTTTTGGGTTTTTAAAACAATTCAATATAATATATTGATTTAGCAGTACAAAGATTTTAGACCTCTCTAAATATAAATTGATTACAAAGAATCTGCTTTATACTAAAACGTAATTTAGATACATCTGGTTTGTATTTTCCAGTAAATTCCTACAGTTTCCCTAATTAAAGTTTTTGGTGCCCAATTTAATGTGTAAAATAAATTGAACTTTGTTGAGGTAAGATGTAATTTCAACAGAAAATAATTGTTTTCGCTCGAAATCACTCAAAATAAATTAATAAAGTTTTGTTTACTTTCTTCTAATTCCAATAAAATTAATATTTAATTTTTGTTACCGAGATCAGGGTTAGGTTCGGCATTTAATATATATAAAAAAATATCAGAATCATTTTACATGAGTTCATCTTACTAATTGTAATTTGCACATTGAGTATCTAAAGTATTGACCTAAATATTATAACAGTCTCTTAGACTAGTGTTGTATCAATCGCAATTGATTCGTTCGTTTTGATTCAATCACTTCAAAATATTGTATTAATATTGTATTATTGTATTATAAACGACCGAATCCTGCTAGTTCATAACGATTCGATGGTGCGGTGACAAGAATCGATTGAGCCGATCGATCCAAAACAAAATCCCACAGCCAATACCCTCAGTACTTCCGATCCTCGGTCGTTTCTCATTACACCGATTAAGACCGATCGACTGCATGCGTTCGTTTAAATGATTGAAAAATTCAAATACTAAATATTGAAATAAAAAGGCAGGAACTTATCTACAAACCGCGAGTATTGGAATTGGAAAATATTCTACCCCGCCTTACCGATTATTTTCGCTTGTGTTATGTATGGTTAGTAGGTAGTTAAAATCATTATATCCTCCGTCTCCTAAGTGCCTTCTCTATTGAGGTTGGCGATAAATATGGCAAATTTCTCTCTGTTCTGGGCTTGATGGATTAAGTCATTTCCTGTTGTGTGAGTCCAATCTCTGATATTTCGGAGCCAGGATTTCTTCTTTTTTCCTATAACCCCTTTCACCCTCGATTTTGCCTTCTAATATTACCTGGAGCTGCTCAAATTCCTTATGGCGCATTATGTGTCCTAGATATGACGTCTTTCTAATTTTGATTGTATTAACCAGATGAGGTCGTGTGTTCATTATTTCCAGTACGTCTTCATTTGTAGTTTTGCTGGTCCAGCTTATTCTTAGCATTCGGCGGTACATCCACATTTCTAATGAATTAAGTTTGTTGACGTCATACTGTTTTAATGTCCAGGTCTCACAGCCATATAGTAGTAGAGACCACACATAACACTTTAGTGTTCTTAACCTTATTGTGCTGAAAGGTATTGGCCAGAAAGGTATCTCGAGGTTCAAAAACAGCTGTATGTGTGCTTTGTCGATTATAGAAAGGATTTCGACCACATTAGACACGAAAAATTTATTGAGGTGCTAAAAGAAGTAGGGCTGGACGGACACGACATAGCTATAATAAGCAATACATACTAAAACCACACAGGATGTGTTCGAACAGACAACGGAAATACCAATTATGTAAACATAGAACGAAAAGTGCGTCAAGGGTGCATTCTGTCCCCTCTTCTATTTAATGTCTATGCCGAAAATATCATCAGAGCTTCTCTTGAAGATCGCCCTGAAGGTGCCAGAGTCAATGGAATCATCATTAACAATGTAAGATATGCCGATGACACCGTAGTATTAGCAGAAACAAAAGACCAGCTAAAAATATTGATGAATATACTATTAGAAGAAAGTCACAGACTAGGTATGGATATTAATCTTTCCAAAACCAAAATCATGGTATTCCACAAGAACCCCCATGAACAAATTACACCCAACATACAAATCAATGGTATCACCCTTCAGAGCTCCCAGAGCTTCATATACCTGGGCAAAGAGCTAAACAGTCAGCTAGACCACTCAAAAGAAATTAGAAGACGTATTGAAATAGCAAGATCTGGCTTCATGTAACCTGTAACCCCAAGCTATCAATCACAATAAGGTTAAGTTAAAATCATTATATATATATATATATATATATATATATATATATATATATATATATATATATATATGCATACTGATCCACAGTATGCTCCATATCTCTTTTGTACGTTTGTTATCGGAGTTTTCTATACTATTCTCACGATTATGTAACAGATTTATATATTTATATATAGTGTTTGGACTAGTCCAAGTTGATAGCCTTAGCTGGTGGTGTTTGTAAAGAGTATTTCTTATCAGTACATTGTTTTTACTCGCACACTGTAGGAGACTTTTCTCCTCTGTTCTTTCTAATACTCAAGCTAATAACTTGGCTTGAACTGTAATTGTTATTAAAACGTTTTCTTACGGGCTGTAATCCTGTGTGTGTGTGGGGGGGGGGGGGTTTATTGGCACTGGTTTTAACAACGAATTGACCACTCAATTAGTTTTAATTTCTATCTTTACACAGGTACAGATAGGGTTAGTATCTATATTTAATACTATTGTAATGCAAGAGGATACTAAAAAGAAAAAACCAAACCACTCAAATAAGGAACTTAAACATATAAAAAACCTTAACAGAGAAAAAGAATTCAGAACATTTATATAAGAAAGTTATAGAAAACATCAATAGAAAAGAATTCAAGGCAATCACAAGTCAATTTAGAAGTTAGAATGGCGACCTATTATCAACAAGGAAAGATGTATTGAATAGATGGGTGGAATACTTTAACCAAGCACGCAATATAGAGGAAGAAGAAGAAAACCTAAGAGATGAAAAAGATAAGGTGAGGGAAACAGACGAGAAGAAATATTCTCGTCTGTTTCCACCAACGATTCTTGAAGTTAAAGATGCAGTTAAAAAATCTATCCGGAAACAAATCACCTCGAATGGATAATCTCCTAGCTGAACTATAAAAAGAAGATCGCCACGATATCATAAGGGCGTTACAGCAGCTTATCAAATAAATATGAACACAGAAATCCCTTTCCAATGATTGGAATATTAAAATACTTTGCACCATATACAAAAAAGGAAATATCTTTCAATGATCTAACCACAGAGTCTCACCGTATGGCACCCTATGCAGAACATATAGTAGGAAAATACCAGGCTGTTTTCAAACGTGATAAATCAATAATTCATCAGATTGCAACCCTGAGACAAATTTTAGAAAAAAACACTGAAATGTTGTAACGAAATTATTTTTGCCTACAGCATAGGGTTTTTTATGGGGGTTGAAAATTGGGATAGAAGATATTGGGGCGAAGATAGGGTGAGCAAAATAAACGAAACTTATTCGAACAGCACTCAGGGCTTAATTGAAGAGCTGGGGTCGAGGATAAGTTGAATGGCAAGGGGTCGGATTGGGGCAACTACAAAAATGAAACAAAACGAGGGTACTTACATAAATCTCCTGGACAAGGATCCTAGTCTTGCTGGATTAAGGAAAAAAGGCACTTCCTTCCTAAAAAAGAAATACAAAGGGGTTAGGAGATTTTTCTAAAATAAATAAACAAAAATGATCTAGAGAAATAAATTAAACATTTATTTTTGTCCATTTATTCATTTTTTTTTTTTTTTTCATTTCGTTACAGCTTTAACTTTGTGTCTGAAATATTGATTGGATGATTTTTCTTATTATATATTTTTATGTAAAAAAATTCAATAACTGTTCCCGATAAAAAACACATACCATATTTAATGTTATCTAATCATGCAACACTCTCTATGAGCATTAATTATCCGCATACGCTACAACAGAACGTTTCAATTAAATTTTTTTTTTTATTTTCAGAAGAAACTAGTCTAATAAATCCATGTAGCAACAACCAATGCACTTCAGTCGACTCAGAAAGCGAAGCCAATCGAACTCCCAAACAAAAATCCTCGGATAATCCATTAGATGGTGGCGATAAGCCCTGGCAAACTTTAGTGTCCTACGTAGACGAATTAACTGTGGGTGGTAGGAGAAACTCTAAAGGACAATATGTCGATGGTATGGGCAATTTTCCGGGGTTTGGGAAAAAGAAACCGCCAAGAGTGCCCCCAGATTGTTTTCCAACTAATTTTTACGAAAAGTAAGTTATTGATAAAAGTTTTACGAAAATTGTTTAAATTTTTATGTTATGGTATTAATTTACAAGTATTTAAAACACAAATTAATTTTTATAAATAGTAATTTTTCTTAAATTACGTATATTTTGATAGCATCTGAAAACACAAATTGGAAATGATATTATTTCCAAAATAAAGTAGCAAAAAAAGACAATCTTTACCAAAAAAAATGTACCACCTTCTTCTATCTTTCTTACATAATGACACTGACTGATTAAACGTAAAAATGTCTAAAGACTTATTTTATTTATCCTCATCCAAAACAATTTCACGTAAAATCTTAAGTTGTTTAAGCTTATCAATTTTTAATTCTTACATAGTTAGGATATATAATTGTATTTTCTTTTAATTACTTGAAATTAAGATTTACGATTGGATTAGGATTCAGCAATTTCCAAATTTTCCAAATAATTTTTAAGTTTTTTATTTAGTTAGGGATGTAATTAGATCTTCTTTGTGGTCCTTATTGTTGCCTGCTTAAGTTTTGTATTATGCTACGCTTTCTAACTACGAGAAAGAAAGTTACGCTACTGCAGAGTCCGGGACATGATGATGATAATGATAATGGTTATGATAAGTATACAAAATAACAATATATACCTGCCTAATAAAATTAAAAAAACCAAGACTATTACGAGAGATTATATAAACCTATAAAAGAGAACAAGACACGGAGAATAGAGAAAATAGCCATAGAGACTAGTTCTTGATCATTAATGAAGCACTAAGAACAGACCAAGACCTCTCCACGATCGTTTTATTGTCCAAGTAACTAGAAGAGACCAATTTCTCACCCGCAGCTTCAAATGCAATTTTTGGAAGCAACAAGTGTAAATGTTTTAGTTGAAACGTTAAGAAAAAGTCTTCGTACCCAAGAGCTATACAGCAGTAGACAGTAACGGGTTCTCGAGTTATCCAAGCAACACAAGAACGATCGCCTAAATTGGTGTCTTCAACACCAAAATTGGAACATTGGAAATTTGCAAAATGGCATTGGAAATTGGCATATAATATTTTCAGACAAAACCAGGATTTGTGTAAATTTGGATGATCGATGAATTTGTATACTTTGAATGCGGGAAAGACAAGCAAGAACGAAAACTTCCAGATCTGTTCACAGATATAAAGGAGAAAGTCTCATGTTCCGGGGAGGAATTATGAAAAAACGTCTTTAATTTTAATCCAACAAATTTCAACAGCTCGCAGGTATGTTGATTTGGTTCTACTGACACTAAATTGGCTACAGACTTTCTTGAAGTAGAAGATATCGCTATTCTTGAGTGGCCTGCTTGAGAATGAAACAACCTAGCACAACAAAAGTTGACCATTTTTTTGTTTAGGAGCAAGAGCACGCGAATATTGCAGCTAGCACAAAGGGTTAGGAGTGGCAACACTGATTACTAAGAAAAACATAAATTAATAAAAACGATTTAAACATTATTGATTTTACATTAAAATTTTGTATGCTATTGACTTTACTATTGAAGCAAATAGTTTCAATTTGTTATTTAAAGAAATTATAGTGTTTTTTTTTATTTTTATGTATTCTTAAAATAAATGTATGAAAAATAAAGAGATATACACTTCAATAAATTTATTATACTTTGGGAAAAAATGTATATAAATTATTTTAATTATTATGTATTCAAACAATGATTTTTGCTGCTTTAAAAGCATTCTTTATTTGTAGAGAACCGTAAAACTAAAACTTGAATTCTACACTTTTCCTTTGTTTAAACTTTGAAACTTAAAACTAATGGAAATACCTTGCTGAATAGACAAAGTTTTATTCACAATCAATGTAAATTGTGCCACTACCGCCAAGGACCTGTAAAGTTTCTTTATGCACAGGAAGACTATTTTCTTGGAAATTTTCGATGATTATTTTATTTGTTAAATAGAGTGGTAAGAAATATCGTGATGGGACAGAAAAAAATACAACGAAAACATTTTAGTCTGTACGAATATGTAAGACAGTGAGCTAGACAGTATTTAAACGTGAATAATGAGGTATATTTATTTAAAGAGTAGAAAGGGTGCATAAATATCATGAAAGAAGCAGCTGAAGAACTACTAGGTATGGAAGGTAAATAAAAAAGAACAAGAACGAATAACCGTTTTGACGATGGAAGTCAGATTATAACCTAAAGAAAAAAACAGGGCATATTTACTGATAGTTACAGCATTTCAAAATTTTGGTCGTGGGAACAACAAATGAATGTTTCTCAGAAACAAATTAACGAATTTTACTTTACAAAATTTCATTCGATGGGAAATCAAAAGAGCTTCATTTTACAGATTAAAACGTTTAGAAAAAAATCATTTTTAAAATAAATATTGCAATTTGAAAAAAACAGCGATTTTCGTCTTTGAAGGCTAATTATGCATAAACTATTGGACCAAATTAAACGGACAAAAGCTTAAATGAAAGGGAAAAAAATAAGGAATAATATATTATAAGCAGTTTTTCTTTAAAATAATTACCCTAAATGATATATTAAGAAAAAAGGAAAAATATACGAATTTTCACTGTTTTTCGTCCATAAAAAAATAATAACCAAAAATTTTTGGTCGCTTTTACATAAGAATTACTCAGGAAGGTCCCCCCTACAACGCCCATTTGCTACAATTAATTATGGAATTATGACAAAAACTGTCCCTTTTTTTACCCACAGCCTGGACTATAGAGAGCTTAATAGAATGCAAGCGGGAGGCAATCCATGTGCACCCGAGCAAGAAAATGCTAAATAAAAAATAAATTCCGTTACTAACTAGGTACAACTAAATTATACTATAACCACAGTATAAAGTGGTTCCATAGAGTACTATAACTTAATGCAGGCCATTCACGTTCCGACTTGTGGTACGACTAGTGGTCCAACTTCTGCAGTTGGATCTGAAGTCGGACCGTGAGTGGGCTAGTTGGATTAGTTGGACAACTAGTGGTACGACTAGTGGGACGACTTGAAGATCCGACTTCCGACTGGCGACGAAGTCGGAGCGTGAATGGTGAAGTTGGAAGTCGGATCACAGGTTGGATCGAAAATTTCCTCAGTCAGTTGACTTTCGGCACCTATTACGTATGAGATATCTATGAAATACTTTACGCAAAGATCTCTAGTTCGCGAATATTTAATAGAAAATAAACTTTCAATTGCACGAAAATTACCTTTTTGTTAGGGCAAATCATTTTCCTTTCTGTAGATCTATTTCGGACATTCCTATACAGGTAAATTTTCGATACTCCGGATTGGCTACGGAAGAATTATCAACAAACAATGAAAATTAAATCATAGTTGTAGCAAAAGATCCCTAGTTCGCAAAAAAATAATAGAAAATAACTTTCAATTGCACGAACAATTATTCCTGTTAAAAATATACGACACACACACAAGAAAATAAATCCCAGCTCCAGTTTAAAACAAATAAAATATAGATTTTATACCTATACAAATCTATAAAAACTATAATTTTTACCTACATCTTAAAAAGTCATAAAAATCAAGAGTTGAAAAAATTAATTAGTTCAGCCCTAGACAAATAACTAGAGAAACGAAACCTAATTTTTAAACATACATATCATATTATTATATTTTGCGTAGTGTTTATTCGATACATTTTTTGGTTAAGCGATGTACACCATCGTGAAAACAACCTACTGCTGAAGTTGGACCGCTAGTTGGATAGAAAGTCGGAGCGTGAGTGGAGACGAACATCCAACTAGTAGTCCTACTAAGTGGGACCACAAGTCGGAACGTGAATGGCCTGTCTAAGAGAACACGCATATGATTAATTTCATTATTTATTTGCTGAAGTATAATAACACGAAAATTACATTTTCAAAAATGTCATCGCATTGTATATATTTATTATCTATTTTTCATTAGTATATTTACAATACTTAGCACTTTATTTACTGTTTATAATCTAATAATAATTTTGTTTGTTTTAGGTGCGTCTGTTTAAACAAATGCGCCAATTCGAAAATTGGCAAAAAATGGACGAGTCTTAGACAATACGTGTTGAGCATCGTGGACACTGCAGCATTCGAATGGTTTATTTTAGTGTTAATTTTCGCCTCCAGTGTTACACTTTGCTTTGAAGATATCCATTTAGATGAAAATCCAGATTTAAAAAGCGTTTTATATTGGACAAACCTTGCGTTTTCCGTTATTTTTATTATCGAAATGTTCCTTAAATGGATTGCCTTGGGTTTCCATAAGTATTTTACTAGCTTTTGGACGTTGTTAGATTTTTTAATAGTTTTTGTAAGTATATGTTTTAATAATATATCTAAAAAAAAAGTTTTTATATCACTTTTATTACAATTAATTCTTTGCTAGGTTTAACTGTTCATTAATGCTCTTTTTGTTTTCTTTCTTCATTTTGCTTCCATTTTTTCTATAAAGAAATATCTTTATTTCTGCATCTATCGATTTTGATCTTTCAAGAAAGTCTAAGATATTATATTTTAAAAATATATATTTCAAAAACTAAAAGAAAAGTACAGAAAAAGGAGTCTTATAATTAATATACAGAAAACTGAGTACCTACTTAGTTACGGAAAAAAAACCAGAAAACCTTTAAATTGAAATTTGAACTATGAAATCAATTAAAACCTTCAAATACTTGGGAGCGCAATTAACATCAAAGACAGGTAGTAACGAAGTAAAATATAACCATAATGCAAAATATCACTGTTAGTGTTGGTTACTGAACATACAGTTACACTTTGCCGCGTTTTTTATGACTCACCCAGTATATACAAGGTCTCTTTGGTGATATTTTAATAAATTTTTATTAAAGCTTAACGGATCAAACATAATATTTTTGTATTAGCAATCATCAATATATATAATTGTTTATTCTGTCTATCTGTCCATAACAAAAACCCCATTGCCGGCATTACATCATATCTTCGTTGTTATTAGTCCGATTGAAGCTAGTGATACGTTAAACGAAAGGGAGGAGAATAAAATAAACAAGGCGACTACCAAAAGGGCACCATACAGTATCTTCATTATTAATTAATCATTGATTCATTTTCAATGAATAAATTTATTGACTTAAAGGGGTCTCTCACTAAGTACAAAATAAACAACTAATCGAATCCTTATATGCGACATAGCAAATAGAAGAAGAGGAAATGACGAATATATTAAAATACAAAAATCAATTAATTTTTAGTTGTTCCGAGGCATAATCCTGTTTCTATGAGCTGTATGGTTTTAAAGTCTATCAGTAGGGTGCTAACCTGGTTGTAGACTCCCTCCTCCTTTATATGGACATAAGTAATGGAAATAAAATACATAAATATTACACTGTCTAGCTATGGACAACTGGTATGGAGAATTTCTTCTTCTTCTTCATGTGCCTTGTCCGTTCCGAACGTTGGCAATCCACATGACTATTCTGACTTTGTTTACGGCAGATCTGAATAGTTCAGCAGATGACAGTCCGAACCATTGCCGCAAGTTTTGGAGCCACGAGTGTCTTCTCCTCCCTGGACCCCTTCTGCTACCTATTTTCCCCTGAACGATCAGCTGTAGTACTCTATATTTATTATGTCTCATAACGTGACCCAAGTATTCCAACTTTCTTTTCTTTATACTTATTCCTACCTCTCTCTTTACCTATCCGGCGTAGTACCTCTTCTTTGGTCACGTGCTCAGTCCAGGATATACGTAATATACGTCGGTAAGCCCACATTTCGAAGGCCTCTACTTTTTTCATCAATGTTGCGGTCATTGTTCACGCCTCCATTCCATATAACAAAACCGGGAATACATAACATTTCAGAAGTCGAATTTTGAGAGGTAGGGTGAGGCGTTTAGAGGTGAAAATTTGCTTCATGCTAGTGAACGATTCTCTTGCCTTTTCTACTCTGATACGTATTTTCTTCGCTTGATCCTAATTTGAGTTAACTGTTGTTCCCAAGTAGATGTACGAATCCACGTGTTCAATTCTTTCATTGTCTAATATCAGTTGCTGTGGTGGTTGTTGGGTTTTGCTTACTAACATCCATTTGGTTTTTGTGATATTTAGTCTGAGTTTGTGTTTAGTCTATATTTAGTCTGTGCTTTCCTCCAGCGCTGTCTTAAATACTTCTTCTGAGTATATATTAAAGAGAATAGGAGACAAGATACAGACCTGTCGTACCCCTTTCTTGATCTCAATATTATTGGAGAACCAGAAAGGTTTATTCTTATAATTAATTAGAGAATCTCTTATTTTGATACCTAATTCAAGAAATAACCAATATTGATATTAATATTGTTAATATTATTATAAAAAAGGAAAATATTAACTTAATAAATTAAATAACTTTTTTTGTTTTAGGTATCGTTATTTAGCTTATTAATTGAAGAAAACGAAAATTTAAAAGTACTTCGATCACTACGAACATTAAGAGCATTAAGGCCTTTAAGGGCCATTAGTAGATGGCAAGGAATGAGGATCGTTGTAAATGCCTTAATGTATGCCATTCCCAGTATCTTTAATGTATTGTTGGTCTGTTTAGTATTTTGGTTGATTTTTTCTATAATGGGTGTACAGTTTTTCAGTGGAAAATTTTATAAATGTGTTGACGAGGAAGGAGAACGATTGGACGTATCGGTAAGTAAAATATCTAGAAAAATTTATCCTTATTAAAGCAATATTTGTTTTTGGAGTTCAGCTCTGACTGAGCAGGTGAATACATACCATGTTTAAATCGGTCTACGAATGATTTTTTTTGCAGTGGTATATCTTAGTGTAATTTTGTATCTTCCAATAACTAATTAATTATTCTACTGTAGCATAGCTCTGAGGATGGCTTTGTTAGCAAAAAGCGCTCAGCTAGGAATTAAATATTTTAGACACTTTTTTTCCAGTTATTTGTCAAAAATAAAATTAAAAAATAATATAACATGCTGTCTTAATTTTAACACTTTAACTGCCATGTGTACCATATGTGCACACACACAATTTTAGTTCTCTGCAATGTGTACATATTTTATGTGTACATGTTTTATCCTCGTTTCAGCCATGTGTCCGTGGCTGGTACACATTTACCCCTTAATTAAGTAGGAATACCGAGTGTGGCGTAGAACTGTAATATTTAAAAACATCCTGAGATTTATTATGGCTGTACAGCATATTATATAATCAAAAGTAACATAGAATGAAGTATTTTTTAACTAGAAAATTTGTTTATCAATTTTGTTCCGAATGTCATTGTCCTTGAAAATAGTCAATTATTACTTTCGGCATCTCAGGTTAGTTGGCCTTTTCCATTCCGACAGTTTAGATGTGGAAATATTTTTTTCGAGTAGGGACTTATGTTCCCGGTTAGTTTTCTAATCTAAAATAGGTAAAGAAATAATAAATAAGACTTACTCACAATCAATTTAATTTAACTATCAGACGACCGGTTTCGCTCGCTTTCTACAATATGCAAAGCATCCTCAGGTCTCGATACAAAGTTAAATAAATGCTGAAATGATAAAAACCCATATTAGGGTGTTGTGTAATAAAGATAAACAAAGTAGATGTTGTAAAGTACAATAATTATGCCAATATTACATGTCTGTGGTTTTATTTCAAAAAGAGTAAGTTGAATGAAAAGGTATAAAAGTTTTAAAAGTTTAAACAGACAAGGTAAGGCCCACAAATTGTTATAAAATAGTATATTAGATTGTAATAAATTAATAAATGAGCAAATAAATAAAAATAAACATTACTTACATGCCGGTACTCTATTAATTGATGGATGGTAGAACATGGTTGAAACTACTATGTATTGTTGAATCGAGAACTCAATTCTGCTATTGTAGTTGTTTGACAGTAAACGGGAAGTTCTTGAGGAGATAGATTTGATCCAATGAAGAAGAGATATGTGTGTGATTGTTTGTTAAATGAAAGTGATGTAATATACCATTGTATTATTAAAAGTTATTTATACTTATTCGAGAGATATATTTATGAAATGTGTGTTATTTATTGAGTAATTGTTTTATGAAGGTGACAGTTTTATGACAATGAATTAGTTTGGATGTACAAATTGTGTGGGTGTGCAATTATTTTTCAACTTGTAGTTATCAAATTACTTTGATAGAGTTCTATTGACAAAATAGTAGATTATTGCAAAGTCATTTGCAAAGTCATGCAAGTATTTTATTTACTTGAGATCAGGAGTATATCATCCGCATATCTAAGGTGATTTAGGTATTTTCCGTTAATACATATTCCTCTGTTTTCCCAATCTGTTGATTTTATTATGTCTTCGAGGGTCAAGGTAAACAGTTTAGGTGAAATTATATCGCCTTGTCGGACTCCTCGTTTAAATTTTATATTATCCGTTATTAATTTGTCGTCCAGAATTACGGTCATGGTTGCGTTTTGGTAAATATCATGTATCAATTGCCGGTATCTTGAATCTATTCTACTATTGACCAGAGCTTCTTCAACCGCCCAGTGTTCAATGCTGTCGAAAGCCTTTTCATAATCTACGAATGCTAAGTACAGCGGAAGGTTGCATTCATTAGTTTTCTCAATTAAGATTTTAAGCGCATGTAGATGGTCGATTGTGCTGTATCCTTTCCTGAATCCGACCTGTTCCACTGGTTGGTAGTTATCAAGTTTATAGGTTAGTCGGTTGTTTATTATTCTTGTGTAGGTTTTATATAGTTGTGACAAAAGGAAAATAGGACGGTAGTTGTTTAGGTCTGTTCGGTTTCCTTTCTTATGTATTAAGATTGTGTTGGCATTTCTCCATTGTTTAGGTATTTTACTTTCAAACAGACATTTTTTGAACAGTATTTTTAGCATTTTTTTAATCGTGTCTCCTCCTTCTTTTAGCAGTTCCGCCAATATTTTGTCCTCACCGGCCGCTTTATTTCTATTCATGTCGTTTATGGATTTTCCTTGAGAGATTCTGTTTAGATAATAGTGGTGGGTCATTTTTAAAACTGTATAGGTCTGTGTAATATCTTTCTGTGATTTTTACTATTTCTCCTAGATCTCTTTCTTCATTGTTCTCAGCTTTAAGCATGATTAGTTTTCTTTTTCCTATATTTATCTTTATTGTTTTTAAACTTTTGTTCTTCTCTATGATTTTCTTAATGCGATCTTCTTGGTATTTCTTTAAATCTTCCTTAATCTGTTTTCTTATGGTTTTGTTCAGTTCGGTAAACTCCACTGTATTTCTTTTGTTATCATTCAGGAGTTGTCGTCGTTTTTTAGCATATCTTGTGATTTAGTGTGTCTTGTGATTTACTTGGTTACCGGTATGCATTTACTTACTAATCTTTATCTATTTTAACTTTCAGATTGTTAATACAAAATGGGATTGTCTATCACAAAATTTTACATGGATCAATTCCAAAATATCCTTCGACCATGTTGGGATAGCTTATTTGGCCTTATTTCAAGTGGTATGTATAATATTTTTAATTAGTTTTAAAACTAGGATAAATATTTTTATAAAATTAAATATGATTTGTGACAAGAGGACCATGCTTAAGCAGTATATAACATTTTCAGCGTAAGAGTCAACAACATATACTCCGATAGGTATAAACTAAAAGCCAGTGTTAGTCAAGGATGTATTACCTCTTCCACGTTATTCAATATATATGGCGAACACAACATGCGCATTGTATTCGACGGACGGCAAGGAGGAATATCAGTCGAAGGCCGAAAAGTCAGCAATCTCAGCTATGCTGACGACACTTTAGTACTAGAAATGACCTTGAATACATTATGAACAGACTAGATACTACTAGTTGTGAATATGGACTTAAAATTAATGTACAGAAGAACAAGGTAACGATAATCGATCGAATTAGAAATTGTCGGCCGGAAATACGAAACGTAACGGAGTTTGAAGTGGTAAACCGTTTCAATTACTTAGGTTCTGTTATCACAAACAATGGTGGATGCGAAGAAGAGGTACGTTGACGTTTTACAATGGCCAGATCAGCAATGATCAAACTTACTAAAATCTGAAAAGATACGGACATAACCAGGAACACGAAACTACGTCTCGTACGGACGCGTATATTTCCTATCGCTACCTATGCGTCAGAAACTTGGACCATTAAAAAGTCCGACTCACTACGTATAATGGGGTATATCGTAGAATGATGCGCATACCCTGGACAGCATATCGCACAAATGTCTCAATATTGACAGAACTCGACATCATTACTAGACTTACCACAATTATCAACCAAAATATATTGAGGTACTTTGGACACATTACGAGACGAATGGAGGGCATGGAGAGGTTGGTAGTTGAAGCAAGGTAGATGGTAAAAGAATTCGAGGAAGATCGTCACTCCGATGGTCAGACCAAATAAAGTGCGCTACCGGTTACTCTCTGTCTCAGGCAGTACACCGCGCCCAGGAAAGAGAAGAATAGATAACAACCATTCGTCAAATACGATAACGTAACCACATCCTTACTAAGGATATAGGATAGAGGAGGAGGAGCATTTTCGATCAATTAATATACATTTCTAGTATTCAGTATTTACTAGTAAAACATATTTTAATATTTGCTTGTCACATTTTTTATCTTTTTATGTTTATTTTTAGGCTACCTTCGAAGGGTGGATGGAAGTGATGGCGGATGCAGTAGATGCCCGAGGAGTTGATCTCCAGCCCCAACGAGAAGCCAATCTATACTCCTATATTTATTTTGTAATTTTTATTGTATGTGGATCGTTTTTTACACTTAACTTATTTATAGGAGTTATTATCGACAATTTTAATATGCTCAAGAAAAAGGTGAGTGATTTAAATACGCAATATTATTGGTATTATCCATATATGTTTTATTTTGAAGCTCTCGAGTAAAAGTAACTTAGCAACACACATTTTAAAAACTATAAAAGTATTTTTTTAGTAAAAAAATTTATTAAAATCCTTTGTAAAAGGTATATATTTAAAAACCCAAACGGGCTAAGTTAGACAAAACGTTTTCGGAATCCATATTCCATCATCAGTGTCTAAGAGCACATGAATGTAGCCACTAAATATATGGGTAAAAACCCGTTAACAAATAGTTAATTACATTTAGTTTACAGTATTTCTTATAATATGTTAAGATGTTAAAGTTACCGGTGGATTAGGTAACATGGCATTTCATTTCGCCATGAAGATCTCTCATCTTCAACCTCAAGGGGGGCTGGGAATAACTTTGGAACTTTAAATAGGAACTGATACCCTAGGAAAATACGGAAACGATCTAATATTTCGGATTCTTAAAAAAATTCGTAAAAAACTGTATTCATAACAATTAGTTTGTGTTCTATGTACTTCTGATTCTGTCTACCCTGGTGCCGATGTTGCTACAGACCACAATCTGGTTGTATGCAGAATGGTGATGGGAGTAAAAAGATCTAATTTAAACACAACTGATATAAAGATATTCACTGACCCAGAAACCGAAATAAAAGTACGAGAACAACTAGGAAATAAAATAAACGACATTAACGAGAACACGTCGGACATAATAGAGAGTTGGGATAAATAGAGGAAAGCAATCCAAACAACATGCGCGACTCTATTAAAGTATGACAGACAGAAGAAGAAAGAATGGATGTCTGATGAGATAAGGGATGTGATGGATGAAAGACGTAAATTTAAGAATAAAAATGCAGAAAAATACCAGCAGATCCACAAAATCATAAGAACGAAAATTCGATAAGCCAAAGAAAAATGGTTTTCCAACAAATGTAGGAAAATAAAACAATACGAACAGAAATACGACAGTTACAATATGCACAAAAAAAATCAATGACAAATAAGAGGAAATTCAGTAAGTCACCTAACAGCATGAAAAATTTAACCGCATTTAACATTTGAAAAAGCTCCTCATAAGCAAGGATTTGTCTCTTCCCTTAAAACTACGTCTAGTTAAATGCTAAATTTTTCCGATCTTACTATATGGTGCGGAGGTCTAGACACTGACAGAAACGCTCATGAGAAAACTAGAAGCATTCGAAATGTGGGTGTACCGACGCATTCTTCGTATATCCTGAACTGAACATGTCACCAACATAGAGGTAATCCAAAGAATCGGAAAGGAGAAAGCTTGAATATCTAGGCCATATATTGAGACACGATAAGTACCGTGTACTGCAATTGATTGTCCAGGGAAAAATAGACAGTAAGGCCAGGCAGGAGAAGACACTCGTGGCTCCAAAATCTGCGGAAGTGGTTCGGGCTCACATCGGTCGAATTGTTCAGAAGCGCCGCAAACAAGATCAGAATTGCCATGTTAATAGCCAACGTTCGCAACGGACAGGGCACTTGAAGAAGAAGAAGACTCCTGATCTGTACTTGTTTCTCTGCAATTACAGCTTCATCTATCGAATCGAAACAAAAAAATCAGATAACATTTGTTTACTTTTTGACAGAAAATCCGAATCTGCAATAAAAATGGGTTTTCTATTTAAAACTTTAAAGTTGCACCCCGCACCAGCCTCAGGGGAAAGATGAATAAAGGTACTAATTTCAATACATACATTTATTTACATAAAAATGAGGTTCAAGGTATTTAAAATTTCAAAGTTGTCTCCAGCCCCTCATTCAGGGTGTAAAGAAGAAAGGCCTTGTTTGGTTTTATTTGATAGATTTTTGTAAAATATTGAAAACGTATTTCAGATTTTTTTCTCCGATGTAAATTTCGGAAAATATTTGACCATCTCGCTTCTTTTCTCACACCGTGTATAAATGACTTATTCAGTAATTATGTGAAGTGCTCGATATAAATTTTCTAATAAAAACTGTTTCTTCGTCAGCTTTTCTTTTCGGTGCACATTCATATAATTTTGTATCCAAGCCAGCCATAACAAGGGTAAAAATACTGTTGTAAACGAACTAATAAAATTATCTTTTATTCTCTCTTTTTTAGTACGAAGGCGGTGTTCTGGAAATGTTTCTCACCGAAAGTCAAAAGCATTACTACACGGCTATGAAGAAATTAGGACGAAAAAAGCCGCAAAAAGTAATAAAACGGCCAATGAACCAATGCTTGGCTATGTTTTATGATTTATCTAATTCTCGCCGGTTCGAGATAGCAATATTTGTGTTAATTTTTTTAAATATGCTGAGTATGGGTATTGAACATTACGGTCAGCCGCATGCTGTGTTCTTTGTTTTAGAAGTTAGCAATGCATTTTTTACAACAGTTTTTGGATTGGGTAAGTATTATTCTAAAAAAAGTTAATCTAAATATAAATTTAAATAGAAAGAGAGTAGATATATATGTAAAGTTAGTCCCATTTTAAAAGTCCTTTTTTTATTTATTGGCTATATTAATACATTCATATAGAGTCATCTAATCATATCTTAATAGACAAAAGGGGCGCAACAAGCATACAAGATGTAAAGTGCCGAAGATAATCATTTTGCGGATCTGACCATCTCCTAGTACAGATAAAATATAAATGCAGAATTCAAAGAAACAGGAGGGACAAACAGTAACAAACAACAGAATAACTAGATATACAAAAATTGAGACAAAAAGATGTCATGTACAACTATGAGACAGAAATAACATAAAATACAGGTAGTCTAGGCACCTAAGAACATTGGAAAGAAATTAAAATAAAAGTAGTTGAAGCAGCAAGAAGGATAATGGCAAAAAAAAACAAACAGATTCAGTGTTTCAAAAGTTAAACAGAAAAGAAATGTATGGAAAGAAGAACCAGAGAAAGAAGAGCAAGCTACAAAGATGCAAGATAGAGGGACGATAAAATATGCCGAACAGAGAAAAGAAAATTCGAGAACGGTAATGTACAGAAAATGGAAGAAAATTTCCATATCCCAAAAAATTTAAGCAGAAATCAAGAAGGAAAAATAACCAGTATAAATAGGGCAGCAAAAACCAGGCGACTCAGACTATATTGCCGCGTATTTACGACGACAATTGGCGAGACAATTGTCAGAAGACAACTGGCTGGTATGAAATTATTGTCTTCGTCTAAAGCCGCGTTTTCACGACGACAATTGGCGAGACATTGTCAGAAGACAACTTACTGGTATGAAATTATTGTCGTCGTCTAAACACTTTGGGCCAATTGCCTTGCCAACTGCCCTCACAATTGGCCCAAAATTCAGTTGTCCCCGGGAGTAGACTGAGGACAATGAGCTGCGCCCAGTGAGCCCCCCACCACTCGAAATCTCAATTTTCGCGACAATTGGCGCCGTGTGAACGGTGTAGTCCAGTAGTGTTGTCTTGTTTTTTGCCAGTTTCCTCTCTAGTGCTCTGGTGGCAGTCAAAACATACACGTGGTTTGTGTTATTTTTAGCTGTCTATTGGCATGGCAATAGTCGGCCTTATATAAACATCTTCTCGTTCAACTGGACTGGCTTCCGACAATCCGCAACCACGTGATGACAATTGTCCAATGACAATTGTCTCGCCAATTGTCATCGTGAAACCGCGGCTTATAGGAAATCTCGGTCTAGGCAACAGAAACACCAGAGTAGAGACATTAGCAAATTACGTAACCGAAAAAATGTTTTGCCTGAACACGTTCTACAAAAAACAAATACAAAGAAAGTGGACAGATCGTGGCCCTGCCGGCCAGGTTAAGAATGAAATAGATTTTATCCTTTCCAGTGATAGATCAGTATGTAAAAACGTCGAGGTGCTGAACAAATTTAACACCGGCAGTAACCATAGACTAGTTAGTGCCAATATACGTATTAATGTAAAAAGAGAAAGACGAAAACTATTAACAACAAACCCTTTACCGAGGGCAGACATCCTTGCCAATAATAAAAAGAAATACCAAGAGGAACTAGCACGGAACTAATAGCAAATACCTTTGAACACAAGAATATAGATGAACTAGCTAAGAAAATAACTAAGGACATACAAACAGTCACTAAGAAACTTTGTTGCAGAATAAGAAAACAAAAAGAAGCTAAACTAAAACCGGAAACTCTATAACAGATAGAGAAAAGAAGAAGAACAAACAGAGATAATCCGGACTATAAAGCGCTCAACAGAAGCGTTAAGAAAAATATTCGAAAAGAGCTCAGAGCTTATAGAACAAACCAGATTCTTGAAACCATAGAGAACATGAAAATACTTAAAAAATGTAAATCCACTGGCAGTAATAAAATCATAAAGCTAAAAGACGACCGTGGAACGATGTGCTCGCATAAGGAAGAAATCGTTAGAGAAATCCAAAAATTTTATAAAAAGCTGTATACTTCTACTATTCCGAACCCCGGTATACCAACAAAACATATCTTAAATGTGTCCTCAAAGAATCCCCCTGAAATAATAACATTAGAAATTAGAGTCGTCCTAAAACAAATGAAAAATGGGAAAACCTCAGGAGAAGTTAAAATTACTTCAGAGATACTAAAAATGAGAGGACGACGCCAGAGTAGATTCAAGATTTGCTGCCTTCCTTAAGAATATATACAATGATGCTGCTTTTCACGTAAAAATAGATTATAATCTATAAACTATGCAAATAGACCTTGACAAAAGTGTGAGACAGTGTTACTAATAAACACAGATATCCATGAACTAAAATCAATGCTACAAGATTTAAATCACAAATCAAATCAAATAGGATTAAGAAAAATGAATCTCGACAAAACAAAGATATTAAGCAACAGCTTAGAAAATATCACGATAGATAACATCAATATAGAAAAGGTAGAATATATATATATATATATATATATATATATATATATATATATATATATATATATATATATAGGACATGCAATTAAAAACGAAAAGGAAAATCAAACCTTAGAAATTAAAGCAAGGACACAATTGTCATGGGCTGCTTTTGGTAAGTTGAGCTTCATTTTAAAAGACAGAAAAATCCCAAGACTCTTAAAATAAAAAACCGATGACATTCTTATACTACCAGTTGCAACTTATGGATCGGAAATAATGACAATAACAAGAAAAATGGCAAAACAATTAAGAGTAAGTCAACTGGTCATGGAGAAGGCCATGTAAAATATAAGCCTCAGAGACAAAATTCCTAACACCGAAATACGTCGAGGAACTAAAGTAACCGACATTATGGGTAGCACATGTAGCAAGACAAAATAACAACAGATGGTCTCATAAAGTGACATTCTGGCTACCTCGAGAAACAAAAAGAACCGTAGGAAGACTCAAAAAGAGATGGAGAGACAATGTAACAGCTGTAGCTGGAAAGCAGTAGATGAGAATTGCAAAAGATAGGGAAGCGTGGAAGCAATTGGAGGAGGCTTATTTCCAACAATGGATAAATGAACACTGAAGAAGAAAAAGAAATAACCAGTGATCCAAGAGAAATAAAGTCAGTCTGGAAAACCTATTTTCTAGCTCTCCTAGTGACGCAAGAAAATGAAGAGCATATTGACATGCATTATATTGCGGGAGACACAGAAAATAAAGAACCCCCGACGATGTAAGAGGTAAAAACAAGCAATACGAGCACAGAAGAATAACAACGTCCCCTCTGAGCTATATAAGTAGATGCCAAACACCTAGTAAGACAAATTCATATGCTTATGGACAAGATATGGAATGAGGAAAAGATCCCCAGCGACTGGAAAACCGGGATTATATACCCGATCTATAAAAAAAGGGAATAAACTAAAATGCGAAAATTATCGCGGCACAACCCTGTTGTGCACAGCGTACAATGTTTTACCTATATACTAAATAAACGTCTCCAACAACTTACTAAAAATATTGCCAGGATATACCAAACCAGTTTTCCACGACATATTCATAGATTTCATACGGCTCAATTAATAGACAAAAATTATATCAAATATTGCATAGCTTTAACATCCCTCAAAAATTCATCAAAACTTCAGGCGTTTGAATTATGGTTATACAGAAGAATCCTTAAGATACCATGGACAGACAAACTCACCAATGAAGAAGTACTGCGGAGGATGAACACAACCGCGGATTTGGTAAACATTGTGAAGAGCCGTAAACTGGAGTACTTGGGACATATTATGAGAAATCAAGGCAGATACGAGCTACTCCAATGCATTTTGCAGGGTAAAATTGAAGGAAAAAGAGCCCCAGGACGAGAAAGAATATCCTGGCTTGCTAACCTGAGAGTATGGTATAGAAAGACCTCAACACAGCTATTTCGTATAGCAACCAACAAAATTATCATAGCCAGAATGATCGCCAACGTTCGGAACGGACAGGCACCCTAAGAAGAAGAAAAATTCATCCTACTAGTAAAAGCAACAATTGATTCATCAACAGCAACTGTCAGTGTACAAAATAAGCTCACTAAAACTTTTTAATAGTCAAAGGATTAAGACAAGGAGACGGGCCGACACCGACATTATTCAACCTGGCTCTTGAATATGTGATAAGACAGCTAAATATAGGAAGAGGAATCTCTTAACAAATAAATCAATACAGATTGCCGCCTATGCCGATGACATTAGCATCATATTCAAGAACTAGAAATAAATATTCAAAAGACAAAAAAAATAACACAGGCAAGAGCTCTGGGAAACAGAGGCACAGTAGAATTAGAGGACGATATTGAAACTGTAAAAAGTTTCACATATCTGAGAGTAACATTAGACATTGATGGAACAAAAGAACCAGAAATGAATTTCAAGGAAGAATAGTAAAAGAAAACCAAGCTTACTTTTCACTCCACCAGGGTTTATATATAGTTCAGCTCAACAGGCCTCAAAGGCCCAAGGCTTCAACGGTTTTCTTCCATTTCTTTCTATCTTGTGCTAAGTTTTTCCAATCTTGTACCCGCAGCGACTTCAGATCTTCTTTTGCCGACTCCAGCCATTTTCTTCGGGGGCGGCCTCTTTTTCTTTTTGTACCAGCCTCCGTATTTATTAATTCATTGGGAACTCTTCCTTCCTTCATTCTTGCTATATGCCCGAGCCATCTTAATCTTTAAATTTTCGCGAGTCTTGTTATTTTTGGTTGCCCATATACTTGCATTATTTCTTCATTCGTTCTTCTTCGCCAGATGTCCCCCTCTTTTACACCTCCGTATATCCTTCTAAGAATTTTTCGTTCCCATCTATCTAATTTTACTTCCATATCTTTATTTAGTGTCCAGGTCTCGCTTGCATAGAGTACTGTAGGTCGGATAACTGTTGTATATATTCGTTTTTTTGCTGTTCTGGATATTATCTTCGACCTCAGTATCTTAGTCAGGCTCCCAGCACTCTTACTACCTTTGGCCATTCTTTTTATGATTTCTTGGTTCTCTTCGTTCCTATTTGTTAGTGTCACTCCCAAGTAGTCGAATTGGCTAACAACTTCAAAGTTATATTCTTTACTTGGGCTTTGTACCTTAAAGGACTCTCCTAGATGATTTTCGTTTCCCCTCATCACCATATATTTTGTTTTTTCTTCGTTTATTTCTAAACCATATTCTCTGGCTATTCTCTCTATTCTAATAAAGATTTCTCTTAATTCTGCAGGTCTCCTTGTTATTAAGGTAACATCATCTGCATATGCTACACATTGATGCCCGTGATGATATATTGTGCCTCTAGTGTAGATGTTACATTCTCGTAAAATCTTCTCTAAGATCAAATTGAAAAAATCTGTTGATAACGGATCTCCTTGTCGCAGACCTCTATTGGTGATAAAACTATCCGAAACCCGTCCTTCTAACATGACTTTACTTTTAGTATCATTGAGTATGCATTTAGTCAGTCTTACTATTTTTGGTTTACAAAACTATTATCAGACCAATAGTATGTTATGTATGCGAGAAATGGGTGATGAACCATGAGCTTTACCAACTGTTCAAAAAGGCACCGATCTCAGAATTCGTTAAACTTCAGAGACTTCGATGGGCTGGTCATGTAGTGAGAATGGGGACTGAAAGATTGCCAAAAAGAGCCCTAGATAGTAAAATACAGGGCGCAAGATTAAAGGATTTGTTTGCAATTCCTTCGGGAAGGGTTTTAGGGGAAAGCCCATGGCAGGAGTATAGAAGGGACAGAGATATTTTTTGTGGTTCCAAAATTGACATTCTTAGTCAAATTTAGCTTGTTCGTATGAGTTTTAAAGGTTTAGTGACATTTTCGTCTCTAACTACTGGAGTAAATATAATTTAACAAATTGTCAGTAACAAAAATATTTATAAATAAATAATAAAAATAATTCTTAACAATAATTTTTTGTTTTGCAGAAGCAATAGTGAAAATAATAGGTTTAAGGTACCACTACTTTACCGTTCCATGGAATGTTTTCGATTTTTTATTAGTGCTGGCTTCCATTCTCGGCATTCTCATGGAAGATATAATGATAGACTTCCCTGTCTCTCCAACTCTTCTTAGAGTAGTTAGAGTTTTTAGGATAGGACGAATTTTACGATTGATTAAAGTAAGTATTAGTTGATAATCTGGCAACAATTTTATAAATATGTTTTTAAAATATACATAATTAAATAACAAGTTTTATTTGGTATTTCCTTTAAATTTTGTTATTATCAAATAAAGTTTATATTACTAAATTTAATAATTTGTTCAGTGCACCAAAGGAATAAAAATACTATTTTTTACATGAAGGAATACTTTGTAGAATATACCGGGAACTTTTAGTAAAAATAACTGAAACAACAAAAAATATAATGGATTTAATATACCACGATAAAAACATGATATAACCTGCATTTTTCATCAACTTCCAACGATTTTGATGAAATTTTGGAATTAACCTCTATTTACCCTTAACTTCAAAATCTACCCTGTGCCGACGTGTTATTTTAAATTGTTGGTGAATCCATCCCAACTGGGAGTTAAAACCTTTATATTATATTACATATCTTTTTATTCTTATTCCTTCTTGTTGGTGGCTTTAAAAGCCTGTTTCTTTTTCAATATTAACCTCCCAAATTGTTTAAATTATCATACCATCTTTTTCTTGGTCTGCCAATAGTACTTGGTGACTTATGTCATGCTATTCTTACTATCCTATTCTCTGTCATTCTACTAATGTATTCGTTCCACTCCTGTTTCTGTTTTTTTGCTCACAGGTCGAGTTGGTCTTGTCGATGAGTCGTTGTAGACCTAAGTCGGAATCCGCAATTAACACTGTATCATCGGCGTATCTGATACTGTTGATATTTACGCCATTCACATTGACTCCATCCTTGGAATCCTCCAATGCTTCTTTAAATAAAAACTCGGAGTAAATATTAAACAGCAGAGGCGACAGAACACATCCTTGTCTAACTCCCCTCCTAATTTCTACTTCTGCGGATGTGGAACCTTCGATCCTAACTCTGGCGTTTTGGTTCCAGTAGAAGTTTTTTAAGAATTTGATGTATTTTCCATCTAAACTGACTTATTGCAAACGTTCTAATAGTAGGTCGTGTCTTACTCTATCAAATGCTTTTTCGAAGTCTATAAAGCATATAATATATCTTTCTGTTGGTCGTAGCATTTTTGGGCAAGAACTAGTAAACTGAACAGGGCTTCTCTCGTTCCCATGCCGGCTCCAAACTGATCGTCTCCGATGATTTTTTCGCACTTTCTATATCAGACGGAACTCATTGCAGTGTTTGGCTTTTTTGGTGGGTTTAGCTTTTTTTGTAGTAGGATTAATATTGACTCCAGCCAAACTTGGGGTATTTTACCTGTATCATAGATGTGATTGAATAAAAGGACAAATATTTCGATATTCTCTTCGAACGTACTGCTTCTTTACGTACTGCTTGTAATATTATGTCCATTATTATATTAAAGAGAAGTGGGCTTAACGAGTCACCCTGTCTGACTCCGCTTTGTATACACTGTATTAGTTTTTTATTTATCTTTGCCTGTATTCGATTGTGAAAGTAGGCGTTTTCGATAGATTGTATAATATTGGTTGGTATGTACACAAAATCACACTTTTTGAAACATTGTTTCTATTCAAAAACGGAGTACCTAAGTACAGCTTTTACACAATAGTACTAGTTTGGTCAGGGCAGTTGCCTATTATAATTATATTTCATGTTTTTTATAATTACACAAAGTGTGTTTGTCGTTTTTTTTAACTGTTAATATTAAATATATACATGTTTGTAATGTTTAAATTATCCAAAAAATTTTATATGTTTTATATGTATTGTCACTATTCCTTTGACTTGTCAAAAACAAAACTATTTTTGTATATTGATTAAATAAATTCTATTCTATTCTATGTTTCTTTTATACAGTAGGTGTAAGACGTCTTCGACTTATATGTGATCAAAAGCATTTAAAACATAGATCTCTGGTTTATTGTACATGATGACCTTTTCTTGTGATTTGTCTTAGTGCAATTATTGTTGTTCATCTGATAAAGTTGTTAGTTTATGGATTGTGTTGGTTAGGACTTTTGTAGTAAACTTAAGTGCAGTGTTCAGTAGATTTATACCTCTATAATTGTTGGTGTCTTCTTTATCTCCTACAACTAACATATAAATAACCTCAAAAATCGATAGAAATGGTTAACTAAGTTTAAATAACTATTGCACGTTTGAATATATTTTAGAAAATATTGCTATACCGACAGTTAATTATATATTCTTTTTAAAAAATTATTCTGTTAATACAGCGCAAACTCTATCGTAGCCATTTTTTTTATTAGAATCCTCAAAAATAAGCAACGGAATAGTTTTGTCAATGACTACGTTTAAACATTGCAAATATTCGTTATTCTCGTACCTATTTGCTCCTTTGGCTTATGGTTATCAAGTATGGCTTATAGTTTTAATTTGATTTTGAATACAAGTTAATTTATATTATGACAGGTATTACATGATCATTCAGGATATTTTCGATAGAATATTAAGCGTCAAAATTACGCAGAATCACTTTCAGATGTGTTCGACTTGTCTCAGCAGATTTTGGCCCAAACCATGACAGATCCATCATCAAATTGGTGAATTTTCATCATCAATATAGTGGTGATCTCCCAAATGGCCTTTACATGAACTAGACTCATTCGCGATAAGTCCAAGCCTCCAATACGAAATTTGTCATTAATCTGATTTCTTGCAAATAACTACCGCAGTTTTTGTAATCTAAATTTTCTCCGCGACATCTCTTCCCTAATCTCAGCTACTCCATCTACAGGTCACAGATCATCCAACAGACTTCTTGTGGTATATGTACGATGTCGTGAAGCTAAACAACAAGAAATTAGTCTCGCTGGACTTATTTTTGTATGACCTTGCCTGGGTCTTTGCGTGACCCTTTGGTCTCCATAAAATATGTAGAAAATGCCGGCGGTTGAGATGGAATTATTTGTGATTGCACGTGCTTTTAATCTTCTATTAACTTATCCTGTCATTATTCCCTGGGTTTTTGAGTGGACTGTATTATTTTAGGTGTCTAAGGTACGTAAAAAATAAGAGTAACTTGCAACTAACTTTTATTTCTCTACGTATTATAGGTAACACAAACAGGTGGGTACAATATGTGACAATATACGTGGTTACACAAAGTTGTTAGTTTCACAATCGCGGAGACAAATTTTCTTATTGCTAAACACTTGAGAGAGAGACACACGCTCTGAGAATCGCAAATACCATAATCACAAATTGTGTTATTAAAGCATCATGTTTCTTCCGCGAGAGTTTCTAACAGACAGGGTTTTTTTCTTGGGACCGTCGCCGATCTCGGGGACAGGTCATGTTTAACAGGATTTAGTAAGTACCGTTCGAGTTTATTGATGGAATGAATAAGGCGTCTGGGCATACAGGGTATAGTAAAGTTAATGCACAAAGGGAAATATCCTACTTTGAAAATTACAGGGTTGTAAACAAAATCAGTTTATAACCAAAATGTGTTTACAATCACCCAACCACTAAAGTAACTCTCTCTCTCTTCAATCCTGACCCTCCAGGTGAAGTGTAGCGGTCGACGTGATGTCGTGTATTGTCCGTCTCCAGAGATCTCTGTCTCTGGTCATTTCTTTTAATTCATGCTTAGGTCTTTGGCATATTCCTGTAATTTGATCTATCCATCTTGTTGGGGATCTTCCCGTGATCTTCGGCCTTCTACCTTTCCTTGTATTATGAGTCTTTCCATGTTTTCTGTGTTTGCTCTCATAACATGCCCAAAATATTTTAATTGTTGGAGATGGACTTTACTAGAGAGTCGTTGACTAACTTTTAGCTCTCTTAAAATTGAATTATTTGTTCTGCGGTGGGTCCAAGGAATTCGTAACATTTGTGTCCAACAGAACATTTCAGTGGCGTCTATCTTTCTTCTCTCCGATTGTCTCAGAGTCCAAGATTCACATCCGTAGGTCAGTATTGGGAATATTAAGCAGTTGATCAGCCTCATCTTTATCGCTCTTGAAATTTGACAGTCCTTCCATATTTTGGTCATTTTTGCTGTGGCAACTTTTGCTAGATCAGATCTACGTTTAATCTCTTCTTGTAATGACCCTGTGTTTGTGATTAATGATCCCAGATATAAGTATGAGCTCACAACCTCGAACCGGTCAATTGTGGTTATGTGTGGATGATTGTTGTGTAGTCTATTCACTATCATGATCTTTGTCTTTGATATGTTTAATTGCAGACCAAATATTTGACTTTCGTTTTCGATCAGTCGTATAACTTCTACCAGCTCTGCTTGACTATTTGCAAGAAGGGCTGTGTCATCTGCGAAACGTAGTTTGTTTAGTTTATGACCATTTATTGAGATGCCCTTTTCCCATCCTTCAAGTGCTCTTCGCATAATATACTCCCCATATATGTTGAATAATTGTGGAGATAGTATACATCCTTGTCTGACACCCCGTTCTGGATGAAACTCGTTAGAAAGTGTGTCAGGTACTTTAACTGATCCAGTAGTGTGTTCATATAGTTCGGTTATAAGCGTAATTAGATGTTGTGGTACGCCTACTTCTTTTAGTATTCGCCATAAGTGTCTCCACTCGACCCTGTCGAACGCTTTACGGTAATCTATAAAACAGATGTATAGTGGGATGTTGAATTCCCTAGATTTCTCGATTATCTGTCTTATATTCAGCAGGTGTTCTCGAGTGCCTCTACCTTTGGTAAATCCAGTTTGCTCTTGTGGAATTTCTCTTTGAAGGAATGTTTTCAGTCTCTCATTGATTATATCTAGCATTATCTTGCTGGCCTGGGATATAAGAGAGATAGTTCTATAATTGTCGCATTTATGGAAGCTGCCTTTTTTATGTATGGTCGTTATTGTAGATTTTGTCCAGTCTTCAGGCCATTGTTTGGAATACCATATTTGGTTACAGAGTAGATGAAGTAACTTTACGCCGGTTTCTTCTGTGGCTTTAAGCATTTCTGCTGTTATCATATCTGGACCTGGTGCTTTGATATATTTGAGCTTGTTGATAGCCTGTCTTACTTCATTTTCGAGTATATC